ATTCACATTTCTGCAAATTGGCATGATTTTGATCAAGGTTAGGGTCAGCACCCATAATTTTGTTTTCTCAAAAACTATCTTCAAATTCCTTGAGAATGAACTCCTTTACTTGCACATTACTATTTTCTTTGGACAATATCTTACTTTCCTTATGGACTAGCCTCATTTGCCTACACATTAACCTCACACAAATTGGAATTTGGGTTAAACATGACTCAGCATCAACTAACAATTTGCACTAAATAGAATACTGCATTATTTGACCTAACACTAATTGTGACCTATCTGTATCCCTTTTCCTTATTTCATATTTTCAAGTTTTTTTAGTTTTCTTATCATATTCTGCACTTGTTCTGAAAATCTTTGAAAAACTACCTTTGATCCCTAACCTAGGCAGGTCTAAGACTTTTCGGCTCCTACCCTTGGCCATGCCTGCTTCTCCTCCAAAGTTCCACCTTTGCGCATTCACATCTAGCTTTTCTCCTCGGCTGGCACGTCCCTAGTTGTTCACTCTGTCCTATGGGCCACAGCCCTTCTGTCCCACATGCTTTGGCACGGCCCATTCGATGAAACACTGTTTGTCCCAGGCTTTTGCCCGCCTGGGACAGTTAGCCGCCAGCCAATCGGCTAGCTGCCAATGCTGGCAGCCAGAAGCCATGGGGTGATCCATTGCAGGGGTGGGAGGTTTGGGGAAAGTACTGCAGCCAAACAATGTCAGGCGCTTGTTAGGAAAAGGGGAGGGGGTGGAAGCTCCCCTGTAAATAATTGTGCCTCCCTGATAACTAACGGGAAGGGAAGAGCCTGGGGGGGGGCGGCAATAAGTAAGCTGGGTTCATCCAAAGGAGTTTTTGTTTTGGGTGGGTATCCTAGCCTTAAAAAGAGAGAGAATGAGGAAGGGACAGGGGAAGGGGAGAGAGAGGGGAGGGTGTACAGGAAAGCTCCTCCCTTTCCTTCTCATAACAAGCAACTGAGGTCATTTGGCTGCAGCACCACCCCCAAGCCCACCCCCTGCAATGGATCGCCCCATTGCTTCTGGCTACCAACATTGGCAGTTAGCCGATTGGCTGACGGCTAACTGTCCCGGGTGGCCAAAAGCCCAGGGTGAACAATGTTTTGTCGAATGGGCCATGCCCCATAGGCCAAGTGAGTGGGATGGAGGGGCCGTGACCCATAGGCCATGGTGAACAGCTAGGGGCTTGCCAGCCAAGGAGAAAAGCTAGATGTGAATGCAGAGGCGGAACCCTAGTGGAGGAGCAGACGCGGCCATGGGTAGGAGCCAAAAAGTCCCATTCCAACCTAGGCTTGGGATCATTATCAAGCCTCTATTTTTTTTTCTGTTCTGAGTTAGTTTTTTTTTCCTGGATGTTCATTCCCACTTCCTCTTTATTTGTTTCTTACCTTTAAAATGTAAGCTGTGAGTTAGGTTGCTAGAATAGAATATAATAGAATAGAATAGAATAGAATAGAATAGAATAGAATAGAATAGAATAGAATGCAACCAAAAGTAATATGAAAGTGTATTTTTGCTTAGTATAGTATTGATCACTAATTTAAAGAACATTATTCACTTCCCTAACTGATCACATTATTCTCCTCTGGCCATATATAACTAGAGTAGTTACAATTTGAACATAATATGCAAATAATGATTACACATAATGCACATATTTATTTATGTACACATGTACAAATTACAATGTGAAAACATACTTGGCATTCTAGAATAATTGAAAATCTCAAAAAAATATGAGGAATTAAAACTTACAATTCAAAAACCATATATAGCATTCCATCAGAACTATAGGTCTCCAGAAGTTCAACAATGTGAGGATGTTTCAGCATGTGACAGATACTTGCTTCTCTCTTCAGATCTGTTTGAAGACAGTAATTTCTGTATCATTAAATATCGTAATGAAAGTAACAAGGATGATATATTCTAATTAAATTCTTATAATTAAATTTTGCTTTAACGTTGGTTTTAAATGCTTACAAAAGTTTTGACAATTGAATATTATCTAACTATATAGCTATTTTATGGCAATTCAATATGTAATACACAATGTCATAATATAAATATTAAGTAGCACATGTATAAGAAATTAAGAAGATAAGTGAGATTACTGTCTATCACATAGTCCTTTCTAAGAAAAAGTTATTAGTGTTCTTCAGTGAGTTCCATTTTTTTCCAATTTTTTCAACCCCTAGCACCGTGTTGGTGAACCTATGCCACGCGTGCCGGAAGTGGCACACAGCCATTTCCTTGGCACGCGAGAGGTCGCCTGGAAGAGCCCCACTGTGCATGCCTGCATGTGCCACCTCCCGACAACTAATCGTTGGGTATCTGGTGCGCATGCACAGGGGGCGGAGGAGGGTGCATGGGAGATGTACACACATGCGCAGGGATGTGCTGCACATGAGGGGATCACGCACGCATGCGCAGATGTGCAGTGCACGAGGGGGAATCGCGCACACATGCGCAGAGCATGAGGTGGGATCTCACGCGCATGCGCAGAGCGTGAGAGGAACTCACATACGCATACACAGACACATGGCCCGTGAGGGGGGGTTTCGCACGCATGTGGGAGGGCCAGCACACATTGCTTTCTGGGTGCTGGCACGTGAGTGCATACAAGCAAGAGCGCGCACAATTATCAGCACAGGAACTGAAAAAGGTTAGCCACCACTGCCCTAGCAGAATAAGATTTTCTGGTTTTGTTCTTTTCTAGTGCATCATTTATTTTAGTAATCTATGCAACATCTATTTCTACATCTAAATGGCTGTTGTTCTACAGCCTAAGATAGTCCTTAAATTACAACCATTTGTTTAGCAACCATTCAAAGTTATAAAGTCACTGAAAAAAATGAGTTATGGTGGTCCTCACTCTCATGACTGTCATAGCATCTCCATAGTCACATGATAAAAATTTGGGTGCTTGGCAACCTGGATGTATTTATCATGAGGTCATGTGACTTTCCCAAACAGCTTCTGACAAGCAAAGTCAATATAGGAAGCTAGATTTACTTAACAAAAGTGGCAAAAAAGCTTGTACAGTTAACTAATTTGCTTAACAACAGAACTTCTGGTCCCAAATTTGGTTGTACAAGTTGGGACTACCTGTATATGTTTATGCAGATACATGAATTACTGGAATATTACAGATTTGAATATTCAGTTACAATCAAGTTTTAAGTAACCAGACTTTAGTAGTAACATGGTGGCTTCTTTGCTTTGTGGTTTTCAAATACTTGGGAATGTTTTATTTACTTCCACCACAATCAACATCTGTAGTAGCAATAGAGGTCCTGTAGGGGGCGCAAACACCTACATGTTCTCACCTGCTAACAGCATTACTTCCTTACTTGTATATTCTTAAGGATTGCTGGGGGGAATTCACCAATCCAAATACTGTTTCTATATTACTTTTTTCTGCTTGTAAAAACTGTATAAAAGCAATAAATGCTGCCCAGGCAGTCAGACATCGTGGCACCCTGCAAAATGACTGGTCTTTGAGCTCCATCAAATGGCGCCCGACCAGAAACTACAAACCCCGCTGTGGGTAGCAACAGCCAACATACTTACTATTGTCTGGAACAGACCCCTAGGTGCACCTTCATCCCACGGGACCCCTCAGTGGTAAGTATGGGTTGCAATCTATCTCAGCACCAGCATAAACATGTACAGGAACTCAGATTCCTGATACACAAGTCAGGCGTTACAGTGCCTGGGGCAGACATAAGGAAGCTGGTTGAGGAGATAGGGAAACATTGTCCCTGGTATCCGGAGCGTGGGACGCTCAGGTTAAAGGATTGGATAAAGATAGGGCATACTTTACATCTTGAACCCAGGGCTCCAGTCCAAATATTACATCGATGGTATCAATGCCGTCAAGCAGTGGAAAAATTTGGCTCTGATATCTCAGCAGCACAACAATTGACTACAAGCCCCCCTCCTGATTATGATCATGTAAAAATTGTCACCCCAAAATCTTCTCCAATTCGACCTTCAGCTCCTTCTGAGGAGGCTAAATCTTTTGCTTCTCCACGGCCATTGTACACCCCCATAAGGCAAGTATTAGAGGAACAATTATTAGAAAAAGGCTAGAAAGGGAACATGCCCAGGCCAGAGACACATAGTAACAATTTATTTATTTAAAATTTTTATTTTTAATCCCTTTTAATTATTTAGTGTTTAAGGAGATAAAATAATGGGTGTAACTAGAATGCGGGCAACTGCTCTTTTCTGATGCACTGGATGGCAGAGTCGGATGTGGAAGGCATGCCCCGTTGATTTCAATGGTCCACAGTTAGCTCTGCTGTTCAGGAGCATGGAACGAGAGACAGATCGGTGTTGGGAAGCCCCTCCATACAGAACATTGAGGCTGATCAAAGAAGATATTGTTAATTTAGGCTGTTATGTGTGATAGAAAGAACTAAGAGAAGAAGCAAATGTTTATTGTTCTTTTCATGATGTGATTTCCATTAAAACTTCTTAGATGTGTATGTATAATAATGTATAATAATTGCATGCAGAATTGAATTTAAATGTGTATGTATAATAATGTATAATAATTGCATGTAGACTTGAATAGGATTGAATTGAAGAAAGATATCCTTTACCTGTATATAGGCCCAATTGGGGCTGCTGCAGTTCAAAATAAAATAATTGTGACATGTTTGGCCAGCCAGAGAATTAAATTAGCTTTTTGGATTGGACTTAGAGCTGTGGGAAGCAGATAGGCAGTGGTTAGGGCCCACAATCACATTTGCGATTGGAACCACTCCTTGAGTTATCTCACTGCTCTGAGAACAAACTGCAGGTTGTCCAAAGGAAGAAAACATGGAGATTTAAAGGGACAAAACCTTCCCAGGTCTGGAAATGTTGTGTGTGAGAATGTGTCTATCTGTAATCTTTTGCAGACCTGGAGGATGAGACCCTCTAATAACAGTGCACAAAATTATTTAGACAATGGAGCTCATTGGCTCCCAGAAAAGAATTGTGAGTATTCAAGCAGTCTGATTACAGTACAAATTCGTGAGTATGTTGATGGTAAAAAGTTGGTGTAAATGTCTGTGTGTTGACCCCCATCCCAGATTAAAAGGAGAGTATGAGAAAGGTCCCATGGAGAAATGTGTGTGATTTAATGGAGAGAGAGAATTATTTTGTTAAAAGAATGTTGGGGTGAGATTTCTGTGTGGTATTTTAAACATCCCCCCCCCCCCCCGTCCTTGCTGGTTGTTAACTTTCTGCCTTGAAAAAGCAGAAGCAGGAAAATTGGGTGGGGGGGAAGAATGAGGTTTTTTGCTCACTTTAACCATTTTTTCTCTCTGCGTTGAGCTTTTGCCTAAGAAAGGCGGGGTGATTTTTCTCAGAGTTACTGCAAACTAAGAAGCCTTAGATGGCTAGGCTGAGGTGGGCAGTTTGCCTAGAACGTTATCTTTGAAGATGGCTCAGGTTCCCAGTTTACAATGGAGCTCAGCTCAGCAAGGGAATCAAAATTCAAACTAGCCGCACTCTGTACATGCTCTTAATCCATATTTTGATCAAAGCAGAGAATTGACACTAAAGTTTGACTCCCTCAGGACAGTTTACAACAAGAATGTGAAGAATGCATAACTATTATCAGCACATCAGGTAAAATCACAAAGTGTTTACAATGGGCTTTGCAAATAAGAAGTGGGGGCAGAAATAAAAAATGGTTAGGGTAGAAACATGATTTGGGATTCTTTTTTTGTAATTTTTGATAAGTACAGTAAAGTGTAAATGGTGGAGTTATGTAAATCTGATTTTCAATTTTATTTTCAGAATAACTTATCTGTTCAGTGTGCTTTAACTGATTATGTAGGCTGTACTGCATATCATTTGCCTAAAGATCCTCGGCTTGCTTGCTTAATGACTTCTTCCATTCCTGTCCGTCCACTGCTTTCTCCTTCTCCATTGCCACAAGCTCCTGTTTTTTTCAGATGGTGGGCGAACGAGAGGAGCGATTGCTTACAAGGATCCTCATGATGATACCTGGAAGGTGTCCTACACTGCAGTGCAATCCTCACCTCAAAGTTCAGAATTGTCTACTGCTATTTTAGCTTTCCAAACTTTTTCTCATCAGCCTTTCAATTTAATCTGACTATCATTATGTGTGTCAACTTATTTTTAATCTTCCAGGTGCTTATATTACGCCCAGGATTGACCCTAATCTCATGGCCTTGTTTTTAACTTTGCAACAGCTGCTACAAGACTGAAAGCATTTCTCACATACGTAGTCACTCTCCCCTTCCTGGGCCTCTTTCTGAAGGCAATAATCATGCTGATGCTGCTGTTCATATTTTACCTACTTTGTTTTCAGATCCTTTTTTCAGTCACTCTTTTTTCCATCAAAATGCTAGAGGGCTGGCATAAGCTTGTTATATTTCACTCGACCAAGTCAAGCAGATTGTTTCATCCTGTCCCCAATGTTCTGGGGCATCCCCCTCAGGGGACACGGGAGTCAATCCCTGTGGTTTCACCTCTAATCAACTTTGGCAAATGGATGTTACCCATGTTCCCCCTCTTTGGCTCCCTTGGAAATATATTCATTTATCTATTGATATCTAGTCAGGAGTCATTTGGGCCACACCTCAATGAGAGGAAACAGTTAATCATATTATTTCTCATCTTTTTTCAGCCATTACAGCGCTAGGCAAGCCCTCTTCATTAAAAACTGATAATGAGCCAACCTATTCCTCATCGGCTTTTTTGCAATTTTGTACAACCTGGAATATAGCCATCGTGGAATGTGCTAATTGGTCCTTTAAAGACTGCCTCCACAAACAAATAAAAAAGAAGGGATCTCCCCAATTTGTCGTGTGTAACACAACAGGTTAAAAAAGTATTATTTACCTTAAATCAATTGAATGTTTCTATTCAAAATTTAACTACTTGGGGGTGCGGCTGTGCTGCTGTGCTTGCTCCTACAGGACCTTTGTGGATTCCAGCTCGTTGTGTCCACCCAGCCAAGGATGTTGTGGCACCAGTCTCTTGATCTGGTCCCAGAAATGGCAAGGGTGACTCTACAGATGACACAGTGTCCAATCCGGTTCCCCCCGGTCCCATCGTACCAGTCGCCCAGTGACATTAATTTTGCCCATGTTTGGCTACCGCAAGGATGGTTTTTTACATGTGGTCAAGAAACTTTTAATTATATTCCTGCTAAAATTAGTGAAGCACAGTGCTGCCTCAGCCGGCTGATTCCTGTTTTGCTTTCTAAACAACAAATTCATCACTCGAATCGTTCTCAACATGGGGTCATGCTAGATAGCACCTGTGACTCTGAAACAACCTTACTTAATAAAGCAGAATACGTAGTGCTAGCTGTGTCTATAGTGGGTGTGCCAGTACTTGCTGCTCGCACTCACCTTAACATTAACTCTGTTGCATTTAATTTAGCAAAAACAACTAATGCTACTTCTTCAGCTATCTCAGCAATCAACCACGAGATGCAAGCATTGAGAAAGGCTATTCTACAAAATCTATGTTGTTTTAATTTGTTTGATGAGTCACGAACCATCTAGCACCAGCTTAATATTTTATACAATTTGGCCTCGGAATTGAAAATTGATAATTTAGGATCTTGGTGGGAAAGCTTTTGGGCTTGGTTACCCACAGGCTTAATGGAAAATATTCTACGCTATGTAGTCATTATTTGTGCTATTTTAATTAGTGGGTGCTGCTTTGTTCAGTGTCTTCCTTCCCTTTGCAGCATATGTATCACAGCTTTTTGCCCCAAACCCTCTCCTAGGTTGCCTCAGGGTCAGGTATATGCCCTGTATAAACAACTGCAAGGATGCTCTTCTTCTGATTATGATGCCCTTACTCTTATGACTATGCCTTGTCTAACAAAACAAAAAAGAGTGAGATGTAGTGGCAATAGAGGTCCTGTAGGTGGTGCAAGCAGCACACTGCTGTGCCTCAACACCTATATGGGCCTCAAATACCTACATGATCTCACTTAGCAGAGCTGTCCCTGGCTTGTACATGATCTCACTTGCTAACAGCACCACTTCCTTACTTGTATATTCTTAAGGATTGGTGGGGGGAATTCACCAATCCAAATACTGTTTCTATATTACCTTTTTCTGCTTGTAAAAACTGTATAAAAGCAACAAACGCTGCCCAGGCAGTCAGACATCTTGGCACCTCACAAAAAGGGCATTGGTACTTACCTGATACGCCCATTCTCTGTGAGCTGTGAAGAGCATCCAGTGATGGGAAGGTGCTTCAGTCCCTTCTAGGAAGGCTGGGCTTAAACTTGAGGACACTCCTCCTCCTCCACGAGACTCCTCCTTAACGTCCCCAGTTTTGCGAAGCCAAGGTATTGATACCCTATATGCTTAAGCCTATGTAATAACCCTGGCCAGAACAGACCCCCTACCAGACGGAATAAAAGGGAGGGGCTGGATGCTCTTCACAGCTCACAGAGAACGGGCGTATCAGGTAAGTACCAATGCCCTTTCTCCCATGAGCTGTTCAGAGCATCCAGTGATGGGACATACCAAAGCTTGGCACTGTCCTAAGGGAGGGACCCCATCTGGGTTGCAGACCTAACTGTCTCTGAAATAACTTGCTGCAAAACTCACCTACCAAATGAAGCCTCAGCAGAAGCAAATACGTCAATTTTATAATTTCTAATAAATGGAGATGGAGAAGCCCAGGTTGCAGCTCAGCAAATCTCCTCTATTGTAGTTTGGGTCGCCCACGCTGCTGTGGTGGCTGCACTCCTGGAGGAGTGAGCAGTAATGCCTTGGGGCACTGGAATCGAGTGAGAGTCATACGACTTAGCGATGGTGGCCCTTAGCCATCTACCTATGGTAACCCAGACGGAGTCCCTCCCTTAGGACAGTGCCAAGCTTTGGTATGTCAGGGGAGCAGACTGATAGGGTGAAGGGTTTTCAACTGTTATGGCTTAATGCAAAGAAAATCACTATCAGTAAGCATTCTTGTTCCAATTATGTTGTTCACATTCCAAGAATCTATAGACTAGAAATTGCTTTTCTATATAAAGTTGAAGATTATATTAATTATTCCTCATGGTTTCTGACTTTTTGGGCCTAGTAAATTACAATTAATACAGCCTTGACTTCCAAGCAGAAATCTGACTTTAAGAATCCTGTATACTGGATTGACTATCTAAATATAAATAGCTTAAACATAAATACTTGTGATTTTATAGTTTTTAAAAATATAATACAATGATTATTAATTTTGTTGAGAAGTAATTATATTCAATAGGTCCAGTGGTGCAATTCAACCGGTGTAACAATGGGTTTGGTGAGCACGCGAGTTTATTGAATATTCTGAGTGGGATGCTGGTCCCAGCCCGATGTACAAGGAGAGGTAGTAGCTAGCCTCAATTCCAATGGAAAGGAACCGCGAAACTCCTTAAGTACTGCGAAACAGGCAAGGTTGGTTTTATACTTGGAAACAGGCGTAGGACTATCTGTCTGGAACTGGTAAGATTAGGGCCATGTTCTCCATGGAGCTGTTTAACATGTCCATTGGGACATGTTAAAACCTTTAGTAGCAGTAAAAGTTGTCTTTAAAAAGAAAAGTGGAGTTCAAACTTGCTCATGAGAGCCCTGGCCAGGTGCAAACGATGTGTGAACAAAGGTCTCTATAGATCTTGATCTTTAAAAATAAGCCAGCATCTCCTGGGAGATCCAAACTAGAAAGAGAAGAGACAGAACACCCAGGGCAGAGACAGGTAGTAAAAATCTAGTGCTTAAGGAGATAGAACAATGGATGTAACTTCAAGTAAAAGTGAGAAGTTCACTAAAACAATTAGGAAGAATCCCAAATTGTAAATAGACCTGGGTAGTCCTTTAGGGAAAAATATTTAGAGTTTGGGAAGCCCCTCCATACAGTAAGATGATTCAGACATTAGGGCTGATGAAAGAAGATATGGTTAATTTATGCTGTTATGTGTGGTAGGAAGAAAGAGTAAAGAAAAGGTTAATGTTCTTCCCACCTGGGATTTAGCAAGTAATAAAAAGGCCTTGCCTGTCTAAATGGGAAGACTCAGATAATTTGATGTGATTTCTGTTAAAAAAAACTCTTAGATGTGTATCTATAATAATAACATGTAGAATTGAATGGAATGGAATTGATTGTGATATGTTTGGCCGGCCGGCAAATTAAGTCACATCTTGGGGCAGTGGTTGGGGCCCAAAATCACATTTTTGATTGAAACTATTTCCTGAATTTTCCCACTGCTTGAAGAATGAGCTACAGGTTGCCCAAAGAAAGAAAAAGTGGACATTTAAAGGGACAAAACCTCCCCAGGTCTGTAAATGTATGTGTGAATGTGTGTGTGTGTAGTTCATTTCCAAACCTGAGGATGAGACCCTCTAATACCAGTACACAAAATTATTTAGAAAATGGAGCTCATTGGCTTGTGAAAAATAGCAAGTGTTTGCAAGGAAAATAAATGTGAAAGATCCCACGTAGAATGTGGGAGAGAAATCTGTGAAAAAGGGGGGAAATGTGTGATTTACTAAAGCTAGAGAGAGAGGGAGAAATGGAGAAAATTATTTTGTTAAGAGAATGCTGAGTGGAGAAAAGGGGTGAGATTTCTGTGTAGTATTTTAAACATTTTTTCTTGTCCTTGTTGGTTAATTTTTCTTTCTCTTGCTCAAGGACTTTTTGCCTTGAAAGAGCAAGAGAAGCAGGGGGGGGGGAATGAGGCTTTCCCCCCCCCTCATTTTAACCATTCTCCCCCCTGCTTAGTTGAAACATTGAGCAGCAGATGAAGCTAGGCAGAATCACATCTGATACCTGTACAATTAGAACAGCCCCCCAAGGCTGTGTGCTTTCTCCACTTCTCTTCTCCCTATATACCAATGACTGCATCTCAAACGATCCATCTGTTAAAATACTGAAGTTTGCAGATGATACAACAGTGATTGGTCTCATACGAGACAACGATGAATCCACATACAGACAAGAGGTTGTACAACTTGCCTTGTAGTGTAACCAGAACAATCTGGAACTGAATACACTCAAAACCGTAGAAATGGTGATAGACTTTAGAAGAAACCCTCCCATACTACCACCTCTTACAATACTAGACAACACAGTATCAACAGTACAGACCTTCAAATTTCTAGGTTCTATTATGACACAAGACACTAAAATGGACACCTAACATCAAAAACGTCATCAAAAAAGCACAACAAAGAATGTTCTTTCTGTGCCAACTCACAAAGCTAAAACTGCCCAAGGAGCTGCTGATACAGTTCTACAGAGGAATTATTGAGTCTGTCATCTGCACCTCTATAACTGTCTGGTTTGGTTCTGCAATCCAACAAGACAGACACAGACTCCAGAGAGTATTGAGGACTGCAGAAAAAACAATTACTACCAACCTGTCTTCAATCAAGGACCTGTATGCTGCATGAGTCAAAAAGTGGGCTGTGAAAATATTTACAGACCCCTCACATCCCGGACATAAACTGTTTCAACTCCTACCCTCAAAACAATGCTATAGAGTACTGCACACCAGAATAACTAGACACAAGGACAGTTTTTCCTGAACACCATCACACTGCTAAACAAATAATTCCCTCAACTGTCCAGCTATTTACAAAGTCTGCACTACTAATCTCATTACTCCTTATCACCCATCTCCTCCCACTTGTGACTGTATGACTGTAACTTTGTCGCTTGTATCCTTACGATTTATATTAACTGTTTCCTAGTATGATTTGATTGCTTATTGTACCCTATGAGTATTATTAAGTGTTGTACCTTATGATTCTTGATGAACGTATCTTTTCTTTTATGTACACCAAGAGCATTTGCACCAAGACAAATTCCGTGTGTGTTCAATCACACTTGGCTAATAAAGAATTCTATTCTATTCTATTCTATTCTATTCTATTCTATTCTATTCTATT